TACAGTATAAAAATAAAATAAAAATAAGAATTAAAAAAATAATCAGAGTAAATAAATGATTTATATATGTTCCTTGAGACGTTTAAGTGAAAACATGTGAAGATATTGTGAAAAAGTAGACAAGTATGTGATCTACCATGACGCAATAGATACGAGCAGAAAAAGAAAAAACAAATACATTCATATATATACATACATCCATATATACATATATATATATATACATATGTAGAGATGGTTGACCGTTGATATAATATGAGATGGAGTTAATCGGGGGATGCGGTCAAATAAATAATAATTTGACCGCACCCCCCGATTAACTCCTCTCATATATATATATATACATATATATAGTATAGTATATATATATACACACATAGAGAGGAGAGTGCAGAAGATAAGTAAAAAATAAAACACTTTTAAATAAAATAAAATACAGTTCAAAAAAATACAATCTTATGAATAGAAAAGATAGAAGGTAACAAAAACAATAAAAAATTATACCTATTCACACTGCTTTGTGAGAGGTGATCGAAATTCTGTTTCATACTCAAAACAGAAGAAAATGTATAAAGAAAATTAAAACCTTGTTGCATAATATATACTTAGACAGCATCTGATTGAATTGTGAAGAGGAATTGGAATAAGAGGGTTTTAAATGTGGATAAGGATGGTGCATGGCGGATTTTTAATGGTATGGAATTCCAGATTGCAGTGAAACAGATAACAACGGAATGTTTAAATGAGGCCGATTTGTGTAAAGGAGTGTAAAGGTCAGAAGAACGTGATCTTGTGGAGAGTAATATTATTACTTTGTGAATATTGAAAAAAATAATGTATACTTCTTATTATAAATCTCGCCTGTTTTAAACATTTCGACTAAAATATCTCAAATTTTTAATTCCATGGATAATACAGAAAATGTTTTGCGGAAGTTAATATAGATATTTTTTTTAATTAGTCTTAAAAATAAGAAATAAGAACTTATGTATTTCTATTTCATTTTCTGTTGCACTCGAGAGAGTTTTTACAAATTACTGACCCTCGTTACAGTATAACTTTTGACTTACAATATAACTTCTGTATAAATAACTGACGGTATTTTTCGTAGATATTTAGCAAACAGATTTTAATCAAAAGTATTCGTCACATATTTTAGTTATCATTTTTAGACTATGATACATATGATGATCTGTCTGAGTAATGTTTACTACATTAATTTGTATATAATTTATAACTATATATATTGCAAATTTTATTACTTTCTGAATAAAAAAGAAAAATGTATGTTTCATATTATTAACACGCCTTGATGTTTTCACTTCTATCGCTTGGTCTAAAGTACATGGCATAGTTTTTTATTTAAGTATCACCAGTCATTTTTAGTTACAATTAATTGAAGAAAATAACAGTTATTGTTCGATAAATGTTTTATTGAAAATTAATATTAAACAATATAATAGATAAACACAAAGTAGGTTAACTTTGATAATAACAAATATTTTAAATATTTAACCTTTAAATCAAAGCCAACCTTTCGGGCATTAAAATATGCATAACCATTAAATATATATATATATATTTCAGCTAATATAATCCCGAAAATTGGAGAACCAGTCTTTGCTCCAATAACCACACATAAAGGAGTTCCTCCACTTCTAGATGAACGCCTAGTTTTGTTGAATGCCGTTTAGTACAATTTCGACACTACCACTCGAAGAAGTGGATCAAACAAAAGATTTGAGTACTATTTATTTAATAAACTAAAGCAATGCATACCGGCTTAAGGAAGATCAGTGTAAAAATTTCAACAATCACTAATATTGCTGATCAAAATCTTTTTGCCATAGCAATAATTTATGTTAAAAGTAGAGGAAATAGTGAAGATTGTGTGATGCGGGCAACAGATTTTCTTACTTTCACTTAGTCATCTTTATACTCTCATTCACCCCTTTCTGACACAAGGATATGAACCCGTAATCTTACATTGGAAATTAAATAGTTGTCCAACTTCGTTAATAGTTGTCCAAATTGAACGATTTTTATATGGCTTTGTAGAGAATTTGAATATTTGTCCATAATTTCACGCAAATTCAGAGAGCTTCTGAAACGTATAGATCCGTCCTAAACCGCATATCGGAAATTTGATCCGATCGCAATACTTTCCTTACCTGGTATAGGTAAGGAAAGTAATAAGTTAAAAAATGTGTAAAAAATAGAATAAGCTGTATCATCGCTAATACTGGTTCGATTCCGATGATTTATTTTTGGTAATTTAAATACCTTTCAAAAGTTTCATTATAAATTTTACCGTGTAATATATGCTTAGAGAGTTAGGCCCATAACATTTTTCTTTTCTTTATACCTTTTGTTCCTGACTTTTTTCGGGCATTTAGTCTATATACGAAAATTGAGAGGATAATGATAGGAAAGTTTCATCAAAATCGTTAGTGCCGTTTTAGAAACCCTATAGACACCCTATAGAAAAATATGTTTTTCATTTATTGCGCGCGAGCTATTGCGCATGGAGCATCGAATTTCTGTCACAGGCATCAGTAGGCACAGACAGACAGACAGATAGACAGACAGACCAATGGCTAAAAATGTGTTTTCCGAACTCAGGGATCTCTGAAACGTATAGATCCGTCAAAAACCGCATATCGAAAAATGTTACCAGATTGCAATACTTTCCTTACCTAGTATAGGTAATTACCAATGACTTACATACCGCAATGGACGAAAAAATGTTAACTGTATTAATACTTCTCGACTTTTCCAAAGCTTTTGACTCCTTAGACCACTCTATACTCTATACTAAATTAAAATCCCTATCCTTCTCCAACAGCTCTATCCTCTGGTTACAGTCTTTCCTATCCGACAGAACTCAAGCAGTCAGCATTCCAAACCAACCCCTATCTTCCTTTCTTACACTGTCCTCTGGAGTGGCCCAGGGTTCGAGCATTTCCCCTCTCCTTTTCAACTCCTACATAAATGATCTTTCCAAATCCATCTACCACTGTTCACATCATTTATACGCTGATGACACCCAAATATATTTTTCCTTTCATCCTTCTGAGCTACTAGTCGCGTTCGCCAATATTCAGGCTGACCTAGATAGGATCAGTGCCTGGGCAAGTCTGAATAATTTAAATCTAAATGCGATGAAAACTCAGGCCATTATTATAGGTTCCAGTCCTATTCTTAAATCCATCTCCTTCCTTCCTCCTTTAGTCATCAACGATCATCCTGTCACATTCAGTTCATCCGTTAAAAACCTAGGAATCACCATAGACGAAAACCTCTCCTGGAAACCCCATATTGCCCTCATCTCCCGTAAGTCAATAGGTACCCTTAAGCTATTTCATCGCTCCCGCCACCTACTCCCACAACCCATCCGCAAGCTCCTTGTATCCTCTCTCATTTTCCCCCACTTTGACTACGGCTGTGTGGTGTACGGAGGCATCCCAATGGTACTCGAGGATAGATTGAAGCGACTCATGAATACGTGCTTAAGATTTGTCTTCGGTACATCAAAGCGATCTCATGTGTCCCACCTTTACGACGAGTTAAAGTGGCTCTTCCCTTCTTTCCGCAGACAATATTTCCTCGGATCTTTCCTATTCCAAACAATCAACACTAGACACCCTTCTTACATCTACAGTCTCCTACAGTTTAAACCCGTGGTCCACTCCCAGAAAACAAGATCCCGTGTTTCCGACCTTTATATCCCTTCCCATAGAACTAAGACGTTTGAATATTCCTTTATTTCCCGATCCACAGCCTTCTGGAATTCCTTGCCATCTGAAATCCGTCATGCCTCTTCCTTGTCCTCATTTAAATATCATCTTTACCAATTCCTTCTCACATCCCAAAATGACGTTATACAATAAAATAAATATTGTGAAATAGATTTTGACTGAGGTGAATGATTGATAAAATTTATTGTCTTAATTTTAAAAATCAACCCATGCTTATTTTATTTTATTTTTATCTTAATTTAAATAATGTTTTTTTTTTATTTCGTTTTTTCTCAAAATTTTATTTTATTTTTATTTGTTTTAATTTAATTTCACTGAAGATACTGTATATATTCTTTAATATTGATTAATGTAATTTTTGGCCAGATGTAGTTTTAATTTTTTTGTTCATATCTGTTATTCATAAGGGACCTTGTCCCAGAATAAAGTTTACTTTCTATCTATCTATCTATCTATCTATCTATCTATAGGTAGGAAAGTAAAAAAACAGCTAAGGATTGTAAATTTATTGACTGCAGAGGCGCCTACTGAAATCTCGGCCTGGGTCTAGCATCCTAGCAACGGACCTTCATCAGACATGTCCCGTTTCTGCAATCCGTTTTATAACACGTGTATTTTCACTAATCGTTTGCAGTTTCTTTCCTTCAAGGATATACACAGAGGTTACGTCATGCCTCATTGCATTTATAGAAGAGAATACTAGCTTGTCATCTTTTTTCTCATACAAGATTTAAATATATTGCAATTATGATTTTTAATACCATCATTTGATCCCCCTCTCCTCTCTCGAGCGACGAGGCCAGTCACCTTATTCCCTGTTTAGCAAGCATCGGCATGTATGATAGTTCTTATATTTCATACTTTACTTTAATTCCGCTTAGCTAACATCCATTTTCTTCGTATAGATTTATATTAATATTATTTCTTCCAGAGAAAATATAATTTTATTGTTTCTGATAGCAAACGTAACTTTGGTTAATATCATATAACAAATAATTATTTTTGTTTGATCTCCGTTTGACTGAACTCTAACTGACTAATTATCTTTATTTTATCATTGTGTACCCCCCACCATCTTGGACTCCACGCTCTTGGTTAATTCATGGATTTGGTTCACGAATCAGTTTATAATTTAATATGAGAACTTGGAAATTGTTAAATGATTTAATTGAATCTAGCGATGTCCATGTGCTTAGGAAATTACTGTTTAAATAATTACAGTCGGAGGTGCAATCGTTCAGGATGGAGGGAAGCAACGAAAACGAGATAATTAAGGAGGCAATTAGAGCTGATCATTGCGAGGGCGGGGAGGCGTTCAGTTCCGGCTGTCGCTCACCAGATGGCGTTGTTAACTCCTTAGCCTGTGCCTCCTAGATCTAGCACCTGTCCCGGCAGGAAGTATTTAAGGAGTGCGTGCCTTCCCGAATAAATGACGCAGAAATGACCGAGAATTCTATATAAAATTACCTCGGCTCGCGCACAACTGCTGCTGCCCGTTAAAGAATAAGAGTACTCCATGAGGCAACATATAATACTACAGAATATCAACTGCTGCCTTCACCATTATGTTTAGCAAAATGTGATCCGATATTCCAAGAATCAATCATGAATCCATTTTCTACTCTAGAAAGAAACTTTTTCCTGTTTAGGCAGGTCCCTTGCCCTTAACTTTAATAAAGATTAACTTTTACATTTCTCGATACTCTCACGGAGTCTCCAAAGTACTCTAAAGCAGACCCTACACGGTAATTCATGAATGAACGTCATAAGAAGTTCCAATATTGCCCGCGATCGCTTTGATCATGAAGACCCTTCCACGTTCAATCATTACTGATCATTACTTATCGTTGCTGATACCAATTTAGCTCAGTTGTAAACAAAGAAACAAAATAGATATGCTTATTTGGATCTTGTCATTTATAATATTGGGCATCAAGAGAAAAACGGAGATATAATAATTACTTCCTAGTGCTTCGTTTAGACCAATCGCTTAGACCAAATCGTTTAGACAAAAGTTAGTAAAATATAAGTCTACTACTTACAAAAATTAAGGAAACGTATTGCGAAAATAATAAATTTGTTGAGAAAAATGGGAAAAGAACTGATAAATATACACAACGTTAAAGTTTTTTATTTTCCTAAAGTAAATTCGGAAGTTTCCTCATTTTTTTTTTAATTTGTCGCCCACTTGACTATTTAAAAGAAATAGTTGAAGATGGTTTAAAATTATAAACAAGGAATATGAAAAATTATTTAACTATTTACATATAATGAAAATCAGATATTTATAATGGTTGTGAGGTCTATGTAACCTAACCTATCCAGCAGTATGGTTAGTCTCCCCACTACTTTTACCTAAGCCCCCCTCCACTTCTCGTGAATGAACCTTTGATTTCCGGATGTTCGGAAATTCGCAGCGCACCACCATCAGTACTTCATTCACTACCTTACACGACGATTCGGAACGTCATTAGTGCAATTCCGATTGACCGTGTAGGGTCCCCTTAAGGTTCTCTAGTATATATGTCGAACACTTCCTTCTGACTTTGACCAGGATTGACGGAACTCCTTCCTCTAGAACTTGTATCACATCATGTGCTGTCTCGTAGCATAGTCAACCACTAAATCGACACTAAACAGTTCTACTACTTATGCGAGAGTTCAATCCTAGAATGGAACCACATTCTTCAAATAAAGTAAGGCCACAAAAGGTGTCCCAGACATTATTGAGTTCATTATGGAATATCCTGTTTATCACGTGACAGACCACGTAGAACTATCTTCCAATCCCAATTTGAATGGACGTATCCTACACATTTGTATATTCATATTTAAGGGAAGAGGCTTTTGAGACATGGTCCTAACGAGTCTCAAAAGCGACCATCCATAATTTTTTTTTCTGCTGCTGTATCTTAAAACAAGCTAGGCTGATCTGTTCGGACATTACACACACTGTCTAGCATTCTCTATCGTAGATTCATATTGCCATGAAAGGCTCGCTCTAGATAAGACTTATGACCACCAGGTTCTTATTGCAAGAAGGAAAACTCGGTCCTACATGATTTGGTAAGTTGTTCGCTCTTCCCACATTTCTTGTAGATTAGTCTGATAACGATGGTATTCCAACTTCTATCAATTGTCAAGTGATGAAGAGCTACGGACCGCCTTAAATCCCCGCCCACACTCCCTGGCCCGGGAAAACCCCGTATAGCCTTAATGGCGAGGAAGGGGAGGAAAAAAAAAAAAAAGCTACGGACCGCTGACCGGCAGGTTGCCGTGATTACTACAGGTGGCTGGTGGTACATCTTCTTTTTTCTGTTTTTTCTGTTTAATCGTAGCTGGGACGTTAATCTACCAAGGAGTATGACAGAGGTACCTCACAAACTCTTCTTAGTTATACTTTTTCTGAAAATTCCATTCGTCTACGGGTCTTTTTCATCGTAAAAACGTATGCCAAAAATGCCTATCTAGGATGGAAAAAAAAAGAAAAGATTGTTTTTCGTTTAATATAGCTTACATACTACGGCGTGTCCCAGTTTTCATCTTCCATTCTTCCTTGCAGTTGATGAAAGTACTCCATCCCTCTTTTTTTCTGAGTCATACATTCCTGTCAATATCATGGGGACAACTGGAATCCTTTATCCCAAATACACACGGAAGGATATGGATTTCTTCCTTTTGCAGTTCATCAACAAATAAATGACATGATGTCGCAACACACATATGACTCGTTGAAATGAAGGACGTAAAGTTAAAACAAATGATACCATGACCAAGCAAGATTTTAAACCGAATACGAGGCAAACTGGTAATATAATGATAAATCTTTACCAACATATTTAAAGCTATAGAGTTGGTTTGTTTAAACTCACTAATTGTTTAGTTACTACCAATCGGATTACATATTTCGTAAGTTTTTTAAAGGTTTTTTTTTCGACTATATAAATATATTTCTGCTTATTTAATAGCATTCACAGCATTTAATCATGATTGTAACGTAATTTGTTTTATATATGAGTAAATAAATGAATAAAAAAAGTGTGTGGTAAAATTAACTACACCTTTTAACATGTCGCTACAATCCATAACAACCAGCAGAAGCTAGGAATTATATAAATGTCAATAAATGACGAAAAATAAAGGAAAAACACATTCAATTATATTTAAGTATACGTAGATGTTTTTTCTACAAATCACTATATATTGAATTTTGCTCTGGGATAGTGGTAGCGAGGTTACTGTGATTAATTGCGATCTACTAAAGAGCTATCTTTTGAGGCAGTGTTTTGTGTTTTCGTTTTGTTCTAATTGTTCATAGCCATCTTATTGTTTTCTAGTGTTTTATCATGTTTTTTATTGTTGTTATTAGTTGTAAGTGTAAATAGTGTACATAGATTGAAGTTTGGACAGGAGAGGTTAAGTAGTATAAATTTCGTGAAGGAGTTCTTGTTTGAAAAATTTTGAGTTCCGAGTGTGATATTGAGTAGAAGATCTCTAAAAGACCTTCTCAGGGAGCACACATTAACTTTACTGAATCTGTGTAAAAAAAATAAATTTGTAAGTATAACCTGTTAAGTGATAAGAAATATTATTACTGTTACTATTTAAGTTATTAAGTGTCTACTCTTTAAAGACTTGTCCAGGAGTAATATTATAGACAACATGGAGGGAGATGAAAGGGAAGAAGGGGACCCTCCAAGGGTTTCACGTTCAACCGCAAAAAGGGCGAGAAAGGTTTCTCTTGGTGAAAACGCAGAAGCTTCTGAGGTAGGAATCTCAAATGACTTCCTTCAAAAAGCAAAGATAATCCAAGAAAACCTCCGAATATACCTTACTAAAGCTGACAAAAGTATTAAAAATAAAAACCAAAACCACATTAATGGCAAAATACAGTGGTTCATTGACGCTATTGAATCGTTGGAGGAAAGGACAAAGCAGTACAAAGATAAGAGTGAGGGCTTATCTTTACTTGTCCATAAAGCGGTTCAGGAAACACTTACCTCGCCTTCAGTACATTCGATGATAACCAGCATCGTAATAGAGAAAACAGGCCGAAGGTTATAGAATCTCTCTCAGGAACCACTATAAAATCTAATGGTCCCCTCGCCATCCCTGGAAAAAGCAACGAAAAGTCATCCGCGACTAACGTGACCCCGCCTGAGCCTTTACCAGCCGCAGTTCCTTTTACAGTCGTTAAGAGCAAAAGAAACAGGAAAAAGACTAAAAAGTCTACCGGTCCCGAAAGCCTACAAACTGAAAATGAAACGCATAAGACAGAGGTGGAATCTTTGACTGGGTCCGGTCCAAATCAGCCGAAGTCATTGGCCGAAATAGTACGAAAATTGCCTTTAAAACCTACTCAGTCCCTCAAGCCGGCGTTTATTACTATTAGCGGTACCGGTAAGAGTCCGGTGGACATTATCAATGCCCTGCCTTCCCCCACAGAAATAGGTGTTAAGGCTGAAATTGTTCGAGCAACCAAAGGTGGTTCCGTTTTAGTCCGATTAGAAGACAGTACCCATGCCACTAAAATAATTGGTTGGCAGGGGTTACGGGAGAAAGGTTTTCAGGCAAAACTAGCACAAAGAAAGAAACCTAAGATTGAGGTGAGGGGTGTCCCTCACTCATGGGGCTCAGCTGAATTAACGAGATTTTTGTGGGGAAGAATAAACGAGAAGTCAGTCCCTACTACACTCATTAATGATGATATACGGCCATTATTATCCTCAGTATCTAGGAATGGACTAAGTAGGAACTGGGTACTCGAAGTTCACCCAAGGGTGAGGTTCCAGCTGTTGGAAATGGCAGCTTTAGATGGAGGATGGTGGTCCATGACGTTTAAGGATTACCTCGACGCCCCTCGTTGCACAAAGTGCCAAGGCTATGGACACACGAAGGCTACCTGTACGGTGGATACCGTTGTATGCATATGGTGTGCAGCCAATGGACACATACTCAAGGACTGTCCAAGGAAGAAGGAACAAACTGGCCCGACTTGTATTAACTGTGTGCGGGCGAGTGCACCGCAAAGCCAAACGAAGCATAAAGCGGGCAGCCGAGAGTGCCCTGTACACTTAAGATGGTCAAATGAGGTGGCTAAGAGGACCTACTATGAATAATATCACCATTCTCCAGCTCAACATGGGCCGTCGTCGCATCGTAGCGGATGAGTTGAGGGCTCTTGTTGGACGATATGATGTTATGGCGATTCAAGAACCGAGCTGCCGTGGGAACATGGTCACGGGGTTTGGCCTCACATCGAGGGTTATAGCCCTGAGCAGTGGAGAGAGGAGGCCCAGGGCAGCTATAGTGGTAAATAACCCAAACCTCGATGTGATGGATCTGAGGCAGTTTACCACGGCGGATTGTGTCGCATGTTATATCAAATGGGGTAATATTACCTTTACGTTGGTTTCATCATATCTTCCTGACGGAGGTGATATAGACAACGACATATCCGCCATGGAGATGATCACGACTTGCTATAGAAACATCATCATCTGCTCAGATACCAACTCCTGGAACACGGTCTGGGGATCCAATCAAACGAATAGAAGAGGCGTTAAACTCGGAGAATTCATTGGCCGAAGCCAGCTAGTGGTAATGAATGATCCCTCTGCCTTGCCAACGTTTTCTAGCGCTCGAGGGCAGAGCTGGATTGATGTAACACTGGCATCACCGGTGCTAGCGAGTCGCATCAACGATTGGATCCTCCGATCTGAGACGAGTTCCGACCACCAAGCGATAGCTTTTAAGCTGGTGGAAAATATGGAAAGTTCCCACGGCATCGCTATGGGTTATTTAACCCGAAGGGCAAATTGGAAAGCCTTCCGGTCAACGCTGGAGGAAAAATTAGTAGATGAAGAATGGGATGAAGCGGAGACGGACCAGACAGATAGTCTAGATTATAGGGTCTCTAGGATCACAGATGTCATCCGTGACGCCGCTGAGGAATCCCTCCAGCAACGGAAGGTGAGAGCTCGACCTATCCCATGGTGGACGCCGGCCTTAACTGCTATGAAGAGAGAGCTCTACAAGGCCCGGCGGTCCTATCAAAAGTGTGGTAGTGAGGAGAGGCGCGCCACACTTCGCGACGAGTATAGGTCCAAGTCCAGAACATACCGAAACGAAGTGCGCTCTCGAAAAAGGAAGTCTTGGGACGAGTTCATTATTGAAGAATCGTCCAAGAACCCCTGGGGTATCCCTTACAGAGTTGCCTTGGGTAAGTTAAATCCACAACAGGTAGTAGCCGCATTGAAACGCGGAGCTACTCAGGCAACCACTCTGGAGGAGACGGCAAAAACGTTCATTGCGGAAACCTACCCCAGGGATGATCCGTCCCAAGATAATGAAGAGGAGAGATACATTAGACGCACTACGGTATGCCCACCAGGTACGGACCTATGCCCACCATGGGACATATGGGATCTCCGTGCTGCCGTGGATAGGCAAAGGACTGGTCGAGCTCCTGGCTTGGATTCGATAGACACAGCAATACTAAGGAATAGTATCCCCTACATTGAACAAAGGCTGTTAGCATTGTTCAATGATTGCCTAGACAGGGGTTACTTCCCTAAAATATGGAAGATTGCTGATGTTAGACTCCTTTATAAGGGAGGAGATAAGGACAAGCAGTTAGCGAAGTCATATAGGCCTATATGTCTCCTTCCTATAATGAGTAAATTGTTGGAGACCTTGCTGATGAGGAGTCTACGACCAGTCTTCTTAAGAGCTAGCCATCCACGACAGTACGGATGCACTAAAGGTAGGGGAACCGCAGATGCTCTGCTCAGAGTGCGCCGTGACGTTGAAGAGAAGGCGGAGAAGTATGTAATGCTTCTCCTGTTTGATATATCCTCCGCCTTCGATAGCGTTTGGTGGCCGAGTGTACTCCAGCAGTTGCAAAAGTATGAAGCTCCCAGCAACCTGTACGACCTCTTAAGAAGCTATCTAGAAGACCGTAAATTAATGATAAAAGGTAACTTCTTTGCTGTAGAGGATTCTGTAGAAAGAGGATGCCCACAAGGATCTGTACTAGGTCCAGCCTTGTGGAAACTGGTATTTGACGAGCTGCTGGGAGTACTGGAAGAGCAGCGGTTCCCCGCCACTGCTTACGTAGACGATCTCGCAGTCGTGGTGGCATCGAACAGCAGAGCCAGATTAAAGGAAGAGGCTGAACGGTGCGCCAACCTTGTAGGAGAATGGTGCGAGAGAAAGAAGATGAAGATGGCGGCTTCAAAGACTCAGTCCGTTCTTTTGAGGGGTAAGACTGACAGGGCCCACCCTATCACTCTGAATATACAGAGAGAAACGATACGTCCAAGTGAGGCGGTCACCTATCTTGGGATAAGGACTGGAAGAAAGTTTAACTTCACCCCTCACTTGGACTATCTGAGAAGTAGAGTGGCCCTGGCTCTTAATGGACTGAGTCGCATCGGGGGCGCCTTTTGGGGTCTCAGATACCCAGCCACTTTGGCTATTTATAACGGAGTTATCTTGGGTATCCTGAGATATGCGTCCCCTGCGTGGAGTCAGACTCTCTCGCACCTACAGAAGAAAAGGTTGGCGACGATCCAGCGTATGGCTCTGCTGCGTGTCACTAGGGCGTACCGGTCAGTATCTCATGAGGCGGTACAAGTCTTAGCCGGCAGTATTCCAATCGATCTTCAACTTCGTGAAGACTACTTTCGGCACGAAATGAAGAGAGATGGCTTGGTGGATCTACCGGCTAATCTCCGAGTGAGGATCAGTGAAGACCCAAGCAGATGGAAGAGGATTCTCCGGGAATGCACATTAGAAGAATGGAACCGACGTTGGATGACAACGCCAAAAGGATCAACCCTAAGGAAATACTTCCCCACCGTCGGTTCAAGAATGGAAACTACATGGCTCCTCCCGGACTATTGGGTCTCGCAATTCCTCACGGGGCATGGGGGATTCCGAGCAAAGCTTGTTCAACATGGTAAGAACATTGATCCCCTATGCCCAAGTTGTAGGGTACCGGAGACCGCCGAGCACGTCTTATTAGCCTGTACCGCCTATGAGGCATTGAGGGCTAAGTTGCTGAGGGAGACTGGGCTCTATGTCTTATCAGAGCGCGATCTACCTCAGCTAGTGACCAGAGAGAACTACCCGCACTACAAGGCCTTTGTGTACGGGTGGAAAGACATCATTGGCCCAGCCCACTTCTACTTGGGCAGAAGAGAAGAAGCTCCACCACAGAGGATGGAAGAGCCAAGCTAAACAGAAAATCTTATTGTATCGATTGCAGTATTGGCTAGTTATGCACACACGTGTAGCTATCCAATACTGCAAACACTCGTATTGCCAAACTGGCAGGGCAGAGATTTAAATAAATAAAAAAATAAATAAAATCACTATATATTGCCAAATTTAGATTAGATAGATGATGAAATCAGTAAATTCTTGCAGTAAAAAAAGAAAAAAAGGCTATTACCTTACTCGTAAAAAAGTTGGTTAGTCTATTGTCTTCAAACTAAATAAGCTTTCTGTCAAGTCTTGTTTATGTATAATGAGATAATCAGTATGCTGTGTGAATTGGCAAATGTTACAGTTACATGAACTATTATTTTTGAAGTGAAAACTTCTTTAGGCACTTTTTTGTGGAGAGCGAATTAGGTTGAGCCGTCAGATTTCCGAAGTGTAACGCTCGGATAAAGTCGACTGGAGTCGACTAATTGAAGTGTTTTTCCATATAGATTAAAATATTTCAAAAACTAAAAATCGGACCAGCATATTGTTAGACAGGGAAATTTTCATCATTATATTTTCTTTGTAATAAGTTATTATTCAAAAATGTATCTTTACGCAAGGCCGTGTTAGGTAGGCTAAGAGGGAAAACATCTAGTGCGCGCAACACACAACTTTCACTTAGCACTTAACGTTTTAATAGAAATTATTTTCTGGCCATGTTTGGCTTTTATAAAATTTTTTAATTGCATTTTTAACTGAGCTAAAGCTAAAAGATTACAGCTAAGAAATCATAAATACCATTAAAAGTCCTATTTATTATATCACCGGTTGATTATGGATTGTACGACTAT